GTTGACACTTCGTTTCAATAAGGTCATAAGGTTAGCTACTCTACTAAGAGGAGTATGCATTTATCTCGATCGTGCAAGAGGTTCCCGAGAGTAGCGATACTGGTACAATGAGTATAGCTTTGAGTGTATTGTATTGTAGCATCACCATGAGAATAATTAAATATATATGACCACTTTATAAATTACCTAAATTCATCTGGAATAGTGATTGCTATTCTTGAACTCTATCATTTTTTATGTACTAATAAATGATATATAATTATTTAGTTAAACATCTTCGTATTTCGAAGTCAAAGCAAGCGAAGTAGTGAGCATGCATTCGTGTTCGGATTCCACCGTCCATGCGCCCACACATTTCTATATCTTTTCCACACCAACCGATATGTGGTTTCCACTTGTTGGGGTCAATTTATTTATTTTTTATTTGTTAATGAAAATTGAATAATGCTATAGATGTCAGGTGAGATATTAAAATCAAATTTGTGAATATAAAACCCTCTATATTGACGTTATCATTTAATGTAACCTCACATAAGGATTATCCTCGATTTTACCTCTAGCATTACTCTTGGAAAATAAGGACGAAGTGTTCTAACTATAATTAAACTATTTTATACCCTTCAAAAGTTCCACATAGAATGTCTAGGTGCACATTTAAGGATCATTGATCAAAATGGATGGATTTCACAAGCAAAATTACTTATTAATTCAAATGGTTATAAAGCCAAACAAACTAGGAAATCCCACCTACAATCACGGCATGCAATGCCTTAGTTACATGAAACTTCAATCTAAATTTAACACGTTAGGCCATGCTTAGGACATGAATGTCAAGAAAAGCAGCTAAAACATCCGCTTTAACGCGGATGAATATCCTCTACTGAAAAACAAAAGTGAAAACAAGAACAAAAAGAGGAAATATGACGATCATGGTTCTTGATCCATGGAGGGCCGTAGATGGAGACTGATCTTCATGGGGCGGTTTTCTGTAGTAAAAGGGAAACCAAGGCAAAATAGGCTCTGGTGGAGGTGGCACATCATCATTTCCAAGATAAGGTGATGGAGGATTATATGGAAAGTATCCAACCTGAGGGGTTGTTTTGGGGCCGGTGGGTGGCGGATAGCACGGATACTGGCATTCGTCTGCCATCGTTGGGGCCATGTATCTAAGAATTGTTGACATGAATAGTATTGTTGAGAGGAGTTTGTGTAGTTTTGAATCCATGTTGGAAGATAGATGTTTGATGAGAGGGGATCAAAAGGAAAGGAAATTATAGACAGAGCAAATGTAAGTGGGGGACCTTAGCTAGATACTTAATTTCTCATGGTTCCAAAGGAGATGCCAAAGCTGCTGAGGCAAAAATTAGAATCTGTAAAAGCAAATCTTTCAGCCTTTAGGTGCCCCTTTAGAATCTTTCCCTTTAGAATCTTTTGGTCATAAGTTACACTTGTGCTTCGAGTAGTGGCGCGAATCCATGTGAGCACGGGTGACCGTCGAGTGGCGGCCCAATATAAGAAAAAAAAAATTGGCGAAGCCAGTTCAAGTGGTTCCAGGAGCTCTTCTGGTGCTAGCTCCACCCCTGACTTCAAGGAGTAGTTGCTAAGTTACTCATAAGAAATTAAGTGGCTCATGTCTTTCATTAATGAACCTTAATGAAGTTCAAAAATAAGAATATTAATGGAGTAAAGAATAATAATATTCAAAGTGAAGACTACTAGTAGTCTGACCATTTACACTTGAATAATGTTACTTATAGAGAAGACTATGATAGTCGCTCTACGTGACATACATGTGCATTAATGTAGTAGTTTTTATTGTTTTCATCCATCAAATAAACTAGCACATATGTTAAGTTACCTCTGCAACCAATTGTTTTCCTAACACTCCCCCTTCTCTCTAAAAAACCCTCACCCTTCTCTCTAAAACACTTCCAATCGTGCGCTCGACGGGGGTGGGAGCTTCG